GAGGTTGGCCCAGGATCAGGCAGTGTTTCGTTCTGCTGTGAATAAGGTCGCTATGGGTCTGGGCCAACTCGATGACACCTAACAACAACAACTGCATGCCAGGAAGTAGGTTAACAATTTATTACATATTTCACTTGTTAACTATTTTATCCCTGATACTAACATTTAAGTATTTCATATTTTTAATATCCCCACTTTATTAATAAGACAATTGAGACACAGAGAAACTCAAATACTCACCCAAGAATCCACAGGTAATGAATGGCTGCTGGAATTCAAACCCAGGTAGTCTGTCTTCAGAATCTGTGAGCTTAAATATTTTTTGAGATTGGTGTATTCAGAATTAGGTTGGCCAATCAATATGAATTGTTTAGCATATGAAAAAAACAGGACCTATAAAAAGACAGACAAGAAAGAAGGAAGAGATCAAAATGGATGTCAGAAGAGGCACTGAAACTTGCTCTCCAGTGTAGAGATGCTAAAGCAAATGGAAGAAATTACGAGGTACAAGAGTTGAACAGAAAATTTCAAAGATCAGCTAGAGAAGATAAAGCAAAATAGTACAACAAAATATGCAAAGATCTGGAGTCAGAAAACCAAAAAAGAAGAACACGCTCAGCATTTCTCAAGCTGGGGGAACTGAAGAAAAAATTCAAGCCATGACTTTTGTTATTGAAAGATTCTCTGGGCAAATTATTGAATGATGCAGAAAGCATCAAAAACAGATGGAAATAATACACAGAGTCACTGCACCAAAAGAAAATGGTTAATGATCAACTGTTTCAAGAGGTAGCATATGATCAAGAGCCAATAATACTGAAGGAGGAAGTTCAAGGTGCATTGAAGGAATTGGCAAAGAACAATGCACCAGGAATTGATGAAATAAAAGTTGAAATCTTTCAAGAAAGTGAGGCAGCATGGCACACACTCACTCATCTCTGCCAAGAAATTTGGAAGACAACTATCTGGCCGACTGGTTGGAAGAGATCCGTATTTGTGCCCATTCCAAAGAGAGGTGACCCAATGGAATGCGGAAATCATTGGATTTTCTCTTTGATATCCCATGCAAGTAAAGTTTTACTAAAGATAATACAAAAACAGCTGCAAGCATTCATTGACAGAGAACTTCCAGATGTTCAAGCCAGATTCAGAAGAGGCCATAGAACGAGGGATAACATTGCTGATGTCCAGTGGATTTTGGCTGAAAGCAGAGAGTATAAGAAAGATGTTTAACTGTGCTTTATTGACTATGCAAAGGCATTTGATTGTGTGGATCATGGCAAGCTATGGACAACATTGCAAAGTATGAGTATTCCTGAAC